CTTGGCGCCTTTAAGCGCATGTCTTATTATTTATTATACGACTCCCGCGATGCTTACCACCGGCTGCGAGTCTTCGCGCGGTAGTCTGTGCGTGGCATTCTTTTCATAATATTACAATAATATTATTGTTTTTTTTGTTGTTTTTGTTCGTATCGTGATCGTTTATCGTCGCACCTATACTCGACCATCGTGATATATATATATATATATATGTACATATATACACACGATCCCGTGTTATTATAATATACAGTGTGCGTACAGGACACAGGTACTACACGAACTGACAAGAATCGTCCACGAGGGGGAAAAATAATAACGATGTAATACAACAACGGGTATAGGTAATGATGGTTTTGGAAATATTTTTTTTTCCTGATCGCGGTTCCCGGCATAACTGCGGGTCATCCGGCAACGTCGCATAGTTTTCAGTGTGTAACGGGTTAACGTAACGGTTCGGTAGGTATGCGAGGCCGCCGCGGTCGTCATTGACGGGTTTTGGCTATACAGTAAGTCAGTAATATCATATTTTATTTACCTACCTACGTTCGTGTTCGTGCGCGTCGGTCATCCATCGTCGTTATTTGGTTGGTTTCGTTGTCGTTGTAAAAAAAAAAACTTATCGAGCTTTCGATTCGATTAAAATGAAAATTTTWGACATCTCCCACAGCGGTGAACGGTCTGAGTTCGRCGGAATATCCGAAGACGGACACCGCAAAAATGGGCTTGAAACTTCGAATTTCCGACAAAACATGGACGTGGATATCACCGGAAATCCTCGTTGTAAATTGATATTTTTATTACAATTGTCACTGTGATACGCTTAGCACTCGGGGGAGTCGTGTATAATATTGTATGAAGCGGTCGTGCGTAATGAATTGCGTTTCGCCATAAYCTCATGCGAGATCAACTGCGAACGTTTTGATAAATAACCGCGAAGATTTAAAAAAAATAATAAATACTCACGTGCGGATCGATCGCCGGCGTCTAGATCGACAAAACGATAATATAGTCATCCCTTTTGTTTCTAATCATTATTATCGTCAATGCGACCGCGGGATGTACCTAATTATTCCGCCAGTAATATTATGCGAACCCAATTATTGTACGCGCGAGATAATTTCGTTTGGAGCGTTTTATTGTATTCGTGGCGAGAATAATGCGATATTGTGATGTCGTGGTATAGTTATATATGCGACGACGATAGTTATACGATCAATAGTAATATATATGATGTGTTGTTCATATTTTATAATATTACTCACATTAATTAGATGGAAAAAAACCGATTTCCGACATTTCAGTACCCACGTATTATTCGGCTACATATTATTATGCCRCGGGTGCCGGGAACGGCGCCGGCGCAGTAGGTAGGTACCTACCTAAATAATATTATAATAGTACAGCCATGACAGACCCGTACAACGCAGACAAAAAACGATTGCAATCGACTGTACGAAGATGGACCGTCGGCTAGGTATAGTACGACACCCGTGGTTGCGAAATTTGTTTTAAAAAAAACAACAGCAACGTTTTTGTTGTTATTATTATTATTATTATTATTATTTTAAAACCAATTTAGCTTTATGATAGACAGTTAGATTGTCAGTGGGTCAAAAATATGGGTCTAATTCGTTTACCACAATCGGCATTCGCATTCGTAATACCACATAACGGACTATATTGTTGTTTTGATGGTCTAGACGTCGAAGTTACGTATTTATTATAMCTATAGGTTATAAATATATATGCGTTTGTTCCAGAGTTCCGCAAACAATTGGTTTTTTCTTTTCATCTAAAAGTTTAGTTGGTTTACTAGAGACTGCCCCGTGCGCTATAAATATATATATATATATATATAATGAGAAAGTGAAGTCATTGACCATCAGACCATACACCATATTAACGGCAGTAATTTAGTATTTACTGTCTATWTAAGCTTCTTTTTCTAATTCCGAAATATAGAAATTATGGCATTACACTTAGTGCAGTTATTTTAGAATGGAAATCTATGAGTTTTTGACCAATCGTTACGTACAATAAAAATGAAAAATCTAAAATTACTCTGCAATTTTCATTATTACAATTATTGTACATTCAGAAAGTGGACGCCCGTTGTAGGTTAGGTTATTATTTTTTGATACCATAAAATATGCCTAATCCTATGTAGGTAAATAATTATTGCATACAATTAAAATATACTTTTAAGTTTTATGGATAGAAATATTTTCAAAAAATAGGAAAACAATTGTCTTATAAAAACTTATTATTAAAAGCCATTAATCTCATCTTTAAATTAATCAAAATGAATTAGTAATTAAACAAATACAACATGTAAACATACACATGCAAATAACACAAAAGTATTGCCATTTTTATTCAAATAGTATAAATGTATAATATGATATTCGTCAAAAGCTTACTGAATATTGAAAACCAGATAATAACAAATTTATAATAGTTTTAGTTTAAAAGTAGTTTATAATACACCATAATAGTATAGGTACTAATGTACTATTATTATAGTAGCATACTAATATAATATAATAGGTAAATTATTTTAAAGTTTTACACGTCTTATAAAAATTATTTTGTGGAAATACTAAGTATTATGTACCTATGTTAGTTATGGATGCATAAAGTTTTTTTTGTTTATTTTATTAATTTTAACTTTCTTTGTTATTCGTATTTCCATAGTGTATTAATTTGTTACATTTTTAACATTTTTATATTTTATGTGTACCTATTAGCAGGTCTGATCTGCAAAAGTGTAAAAAATCTAATGACGTTTGGAGAAAATCCGATATAATATAGTAGGTAACAATATTGTGATTCATGTCATGCATATTATTCTATTCTATTATGTATTAAATCTTCTGATTTCTGTGATGGAATATTATGTAGTTTAACCACGAAACGGATTAACCGCAGTGTAAAGTTATGTTCTCCACTACGCTTAAAATAAACTATTAATTAAATATGCATTTCCGGTGTACCAACGTAGCAAGAAAGCGTAAACAGAGTAAAAAAAAATTATGAATAATATTTACTTTATAATAAAACGTGTGTGCGGACGTGCGCATTCGGAGATTAAAATATTGCYTGGCCGAGAGAAAGTGAATTGAACGCGCGCCTGCATGCACACGTCCATATACCATGTATAAGGTATAACATCACCCATTATGTGGCAATAGTTATATGCGTGTATTGACATCTAGATCCGGGATACGTAAGAATTAAGCCCACGATTATATTTTATGTTTGTGTACATCTTGTAATATATATATATATAGGTACGGTGTGGGACGTGGGTATAATATCATCTACTGGGTATCAACGAGCTGCTCACTCCCTAATTTTTCTTTTGATGGTGAATTTATTGATATTCTGTTTTTTTTTTTTTAATTTTAAGTACAAGCGTAGAGCTACAACTTACAAGTACAAGGACGATATTTWAAAATATTTTAAATGTGTTTAAGTAGTATCCCATATGGCATATGCTCCATGGAAATACAAAATTCTTGTTTTATGATGCAAATCACCTTTTTTTATACTGTAAATTATCAAGGAAATTTTTTTTTTATTATGTATCTAAATCGAAATTCAAATTGTATTATAATTGTTCTTAGTTAATAAACTTTAAGTAGTACCATAATCGATGATAATAGATTGAGAAGATATGGGTGGCTATACTAATTTGAAAATTACTGTAAGTAATTAATATCAACTATATTCAAATAATATGTTTTGTAAAAATTGTACGAGTAAAAAAAAAAAACCTATACCTAAGCTAAAAAGGTCTATAACTTAGAAAACATACATATTGATTTTAATTTGGATTTAGTAAAAAATGGAGGKTTTTCATTGATCATTCAAAAAAATATATTGTTTCATCACAGTATATAACCTCTAAATTGTAAAAAAAGCGAAGTATTTTTAAATATTATTTTTAAGTAGATATGTAAAAAATTCTAAAAATCAAATTTTTAATCAACGCATTGTTAAATGGTAGGGACTAGGGAGGTTGGGGTTGAGCATGAATTCTGAATCAGGTTATATATTTATCTATATACATAATAATATTTTATATTTTTAGCGAGATATTGGTCTGGGGGGGTTGGGGTCTCCCTCCTGTTGCTACAGACAGTGGACGACAATGACACTTTATTGTCACGGTGACGTCGCGTGTTGCAGTATGTGAAAGTACGTGTCGTTCGTAGGTGCCGAATTGTATGGGAGAAAAATGGTTTGAGATAAAGAGTAAACACTAAAAGTCGGTGAAAGCGTTACGAGACACCCACTATGCATATAAAATATAAAGTACGCAAGTCCTATTAATAATAAKTTGCGTGTTTACACATATATATTTTGATTGCGCAATCTTTAGTTGGACGTGAGAGTTATCTGACATCGACGACTGCGCATTAAATGATACGATAACTAAAAACAACTACAGTAGATTACTTACCCATATTATAACGAATGAGTAATGTTACACGGAAGGACGAGTAATAATAGTGGATGACGTAATATTTACTTATTGTCGGTTTTTCACCTTATGTTATGTATTTTATTATTTTGTAAGTTGTAACAATCGTTTGAGGGATTCAAGACGATCGCGCGATTTATGTGTAAGGAAATTTCGTTTAAGCATCTCGTTATTAGACTCACCATAATATTATAGGATGCGATTCATCATAATATACTGAACAGTTAAAGTGGACGGGCAGTGCACTAATTTTATCTATCGCATACACATACATTTTTTTTTCAATAAATAAATACACAGTTCTATCAACAACACACAACACCATCGATTTATTTAATTATGCACAGCTTGTGATAAACATAATGTATAGTAAGTAGTTCACYATCTTAACGAATTCAGAATATAAATTGCAATACCTTTCCAATTAACCTCCCCCCCTCTTTGTGGTGGCCCTACTTTCGGTTGTCAATGACGTCATGTTTATGTACTTATCGAACGGTTTGTGTTTCAGGTGTGGCGTGCGGCGAAAACGACAGTGGACATCCGGATGGAGTAGTGAGAGTTGTGCACAGGCGGCACCTAGATGAGGCGACCAAGACTGGTCACGAATCGAACGAGATTGACGACGATCACCATCGGAGGGCYGACATGACACTGACTCGGGCTGAAGAATTCAAGTCGACCAAGGTGACGTGCGGCGGCGGCTCTTGCGGTAAAATGCCGCAAACGGAATCGGTTGCAGCGGCRGCGTCGCTCGACGACGACTCTCAACTGATCGCGTCGTCTGCCGTCCCGTCGTCTAAGGCGGACGAACAGACGTCCCAATCGCAATACTATTACGAGTACGTGGGACCGACAAAGATCGGTTCGGGGGAAGCCAAGAGGGCTTCGTCGCGTGGCAGATCACTCGTACCGACGGAGCCCGATACTGCAGCGCAACAGCCGCCGCAGACACGACAGCAGACAGATGTGGCGGCGGCGTTGGCGGACCGTCAGCAGATCCGTAAAGCCGGTAACAGCGACATGGAAGACATACTGGACGGGTTCGTTAAGCTGCTGAATGGTCAGCCCGGCCAAACCGGTTACCGGCAGCCGATCAAGACGCGCATCAACAACCGCGGACCTCCCCGCATATCAGACGCTTCGGTTGTCCTGGAACCGCCGGCGTTCGTGCCGATGCCACAACACCAGCACCAGCACCAGCAACAGCAACAGCAACAACACCAACAACAGCATCAGCAACAGCTACCAACCCAGAACAAGCCAAAAGACCCGCCACCGTATCCGTTTGACGTGCCTCAGCCCGCCCGGCCATTACCACCCCAGCCGCCCAATCTTATCAAGCCGTTCTTGACCGGCGTGCCACTKCCCGAACAGCTGGTGCCCACTAATGGCGGCGAAGGTGGCGATGAATTGAGTCCACCATCTCTGCAGTACGAAGATGACCTTTCGCATCTGCCATCGTCGTCCAGACGACCGGTACAGCACCAGCAGACAGCCAGACCGCAACAGGAATATGACTTGTTTGCGGACGGCCACGCGCACGGCCCTGGCCACGCAGTTCCSGCGGCTTCCAAACCGGCAGAAAATGCGACGGAAAAGTTGGYGGTGGACGTACCTTCGTCTCAGTCACCGCCGACCTCTGATAGACCGTCTGCGATCACTGTCTCCGAGAAACCGACCACGACTGACAAACCATGGTCAGCGATCGACATCAACGCCACCCGYGTGATCGGAATCCAAGTGTCGAAACTCGTAGACCACTTGACCTCGCCGTTGGTTCCTTCCTCGCCTATCGGAGTAAGTGATCCCACCGCTGCCACCTCTGCTGCAGCACCTACAACGACGACGACGACCACTACCACCAGCAGCACTAGCACCAGTAGCACCAGCACCAGCACYGCTGYGGAATCAACGTCCACGACTACGGCCGCGGAAACCACATCGGCCGGTGACCACGTGACCGGTGTCGGTTCGGCTGTCGTCGTGCTTGAGCCGTCCACTTCGGAGGAACCGCATCGTGACGATACGCACAAACCCACCGACAACAAACTCCCCAGCAAGCCCACGGCACCCCTCAAGAAGACCCCACAACAGTCCGGTAACTATCACACTATCGATATGAGTTAACATATAATGAGTGAGTTAACGGGGGAAGTCCCCACCTTTGTGTGTGTTAATATTTATAATTTTAATAACACATTATATGAATAATAGATCATATAAATGTTAAATATAAAATACATTTGGGCMAATTATTGAAAAGTTTTAGGTACGTGTAGGCTTATATAGGTAACGTAATTATATTATAATTATTATYATATTAAACATATCGTTTGATCATTATAATCATTAGTAATATAATGCCTCTAATGAATACATCCGGTGTAAATCCTGTACTAATTATATAATTATAAGAAATCTATGTACCTATTATAGAA